CGGAAAGTGAAATCAAAAAATTACCAATAGGCTTACGTTATTTTTGAAAACAGTGAAAAACTTAAAAAACAATAAAAAAAAGGTGGGCAAGTGGGTGTCGCTCTGCTGTACAGTAGGTTACAAGTGGGTCACTGTATAATGGATGATATTAAATTTGAATTCAACGATATAATATCATTGTATAAGAAAAACGATTCTGAGCGGAGACGGTATGTCAGTCTATGTTTAAGACATATTATATACATATCTATGGTATTAAACAAAAAATTGACCTATAATGGGTACCTATAATAAATTCCAAATTAATCATATCAAAATATCCATTAGGTACTTATAACGCGTTATACATCAACAAAAACCGTGATACTATCATAGATATAATAGTACACTTTAGAAGTTTCAAGTATCCACGAATAATATTATTCAATCACAACAAAATAACTAAAATCGTAATTCTTGGTTTAAATATGAAATTTTGTCTAAATTTGAAATTAAAATGTCTGTAAAAAATAAGTGTGTTTATATATTTTTTAGATTTTTTGGTTACAGTATGAATTATTTAAGAGAATCTTTGTTTTAAATTTTCAACTCTTAGCTATAAAAACTGAACATTTTATAATTTTTTAATTCCAACGATTGATAATTTTCGAGATTTTGATAAATTTTGTCAAAATTCCAACTTTAAATGCTTATAAAAAAAAATCGTGCCTATGTATTTTTAATATTTTTCAACTGATATTGTAACAATTTATCAGGAGCCTTGTATTAAATTTTTACACTTTTTGGCCCAACAGATAAAACTTTATTGATATTTATAGAAAAAAAAACTAAAAAAAATTGAAAGCTGTAAATGTCCATAAACAGCCCAAAAAGAGTCAAAATATTTTCAAAATTGTATGGTGTATATGAAATGCTAATATAAACATTCAGTGAAATTTTCATGTATCTACAGTTATTCGTTTTTGAATTACAACAAACTAAGGAAATCGCTACATGAGAAATCGAGTGAAAATCCAATGTTGTAAAAATTTGAATTTCAAACGCTCATAAAAATTTAATTTGACTGTCCGGTAGAGATTTTTTTATTTATAAAGGTAGATAATCTTATAAGGAATCTTGTGTTAAATTTCCAAATCTTAGATTTAAAAAGAAAAATTTTTACGAATTCTTAACTCAAAATAATTTGCTAATTTTCGTGATTTTTCCATATTTTGTCAATTTTTGAACTTTAAGTGCTTATAAAAAAAAATTGTGACTAAGGATTTTTAATATTTTTCATCTGCCTTTGAAACAACATATTAGGAGCCTTCTATTAAATTTTCAAGCTTTCGCAACCAACAAATAAAATTTTATTGATATTTCTAGAAAAAAAACTAAAAAAAAATGAAAAATGAAAATGTCCCTAAACAGTTCAAAATAAATCAAAATATTTTGAAAATGTTATCGTGTATAGAAAATGCAAATATAAACAACCAGTGAAAATTTCATGTATATACGTTCATTTGTTTTAGAGTTACACCAAAAACCAAAATCGATTTTTTGGAAAACCAATTTTGCGTAAAAATTCCCGTTTTTCCTTAATTTTTATGTTGTTTTTCCCGGCGCTTGTGAAAACTACTGGGAAATTTATACTTTTGACCCCCCAAAGTACCAACTAGATTCACTTTCCTATCAGAAAAGCTACTGATGAAGAAAATCCAAGCACTTTTACTGTCCTAAAACGTGATGACAGACACAAAAATAAAAAAAAAAATAAAAAAACACACATCATTGTAAAATCAATACATTCATCGTTTCACTCAGAATCTAAAATAGTAAAAAATATAATTTTTTCCCAAAAATGTTGTTTTGAAACGAATTAAAATTATGTTAAATAAATATTTTCAAACAAGTTATCATTTTCTGAAATACCGAGTGTCTTATGTGAAATTGACCATCCCGTATAATATATTATGCTGGTCCAGTGTCCGTACGTTACCGCGATCGAGTAATGGAGTGCAATGTAGTGCCTATATATACCTACTCAATATTAAATCAACGTGTGTACACTGTACACTGTACACTGACGATAATAATATGAACTAAAAACCAGGCCCGTGGCTGGGTATAAATCCGTATTAATGACGCTTTAGTGACCGCATTTCGTCCGTCCCCTGATTTATTCGTAAAGACTACATAGGTTAATGCGTACTAACAGAGAGTAAAATCAATGTGGGTAGATATATTGTTGTGATATAATCGTACGCCCAGTGTCGGCCTGGCCATGGCCGCTAGGCCGCAAACGCGTCCGGGGCCCTCGGCCGTATTTGAGTTCGGGGGCCCCCCCCATAAGTGTTCAGATGAAGTTAGAATTATAACACCTTACACAAAATTTAAGTCAAATGCTTATTCTATTATAGATACTAGATTCTTAATAGCATAAAATCACGATTTGTACCTAATGAAATGTTATTAAAAGATTTAAATTGGCTGGATCCTAAAACATTTGCTTTTATTAATGAACTTGAACAATTTGCCAAGGACTCGTTGAACACAATATGTACCTAAACTAGCAGATTTAGACAAAGAGATCATTGCATTTGAGCTAAAACAGTTTGCTTGTCAGTATAGTAATTTCATACCAGATGTATCTGAAAATGATTTTCACGATATTAAATCTAAATCTTCTAAAATTATATATATTGATGAAGATGAAGATATTGAAGTTAAACCCACCGAACAAATTAATTGTGACAAATGCACTAAATGTCTTCACTTTGCATTGATTTTGCTCCAAGAGCTGTCATGTCAATCTAATTTATTTTGTAATTTGTTCACATTATATAAATTTGTGTTGCTATTACCATCAACACAGACTACCTGTGAAAGAGTATTTTCAAAGCTGAAAATAATCAAAACTAAACTTCGGTCTTCTTTACCCCAAGAACATCTTAATCCATTAATGCTAATATCCATTGAAAAGGATATTTTGATTGACTCAGATGAGTTGATTGATAGGTACGATTGCTAACTCATCTAGTGAACTAAAAAAATTACTGATATAAAGAAAACCAAATGCACAATTAATTTTGAATTTGAATCACATTAAAAAAATATTAAGTTGTATAATGTGAGAAGGTATTATTTATATTATGTAATATGTAAAAACTTGTTTAGAATAATAAATTATTAATCTAACTTAAATCTTAACTTAATGGATGGTTAATTTTATATATGGTACCTTTAAAAAATTATAATATTTTACACTACCTACTTATAAGTACATTTTTAATAATTTTATGAAAAAACATTTTTGGGGGCCCTTCTGAAGAAATGCATCCGGGGCCCTTTAGGTACCAGGCCGACACTGCGTACGCCGTCTTTGGTATTTAATTAAGTACTAATTATTGCTGTCAGTATTGTTAAACATATTTAAAAAAGTAATATTCAATTATGGTTATTATATATTATTATAATATTTTTATATATTGATCAAATACTTCAAAAAAAGTATAAGAAATACATTTTCATTACAGTTTAAGATTTATATGAATGTATTGATTTTACAATGATAGGTGAGGGGAGTGTTCACATTTTTTGGAGAGGTAACTATTTAAATAATTAAATAATTATTTTTTTTATAGAGTTGTCGAAAATACCCCCTCCCTCAAACATGTCATAGCATTACCATATTAATATTTTTGTCAGGAGAAGACTTGACATTTATTATTATCTATCTATAAGTATTATACTATCTATAGGTAATAAGTAATAACCCTTCAACTGATTGTTGAAATTATTATTATTATATATTTTTGTCTCAAGTATAAATAATTTGCAAAATACAAGTTGAAATCTTAATGGTAAGTTAACAGCTATAGGCGCCGATTTGGATCAAATTGACGAAAGGGTAAATTTCCAAAAGTTCCCGTAGTACAAATACATAAATTCCCAAACGACTTCCGTTTTTGACAACACAAATTACTTTCTACTTCATACAGACTTAGGACTATCTCAAAAGAGATGAGTAGGATTTAAAAAAAAAAAATATGCTAAATAAACACGAACAATTGTGGTTAGCTAAATAAAAATCATAAATTATAATAACGTGTTGCTGGTTTTTTAAAAATTGTATATGCAAATGTAAATTATGAAAATTTAATTTGTTTATAATAGTTCAGGCTTAAGGTAAATTATTGTGGTACACTTTTTTTATACATTCCATTCGGGATATTTCATTGAATGATAATTTATCAATAATGGCCCAACCAACTACTGTTTTTGTTTTTTTTTTGATTCAGTGATAGTGAGCTTTTATTTGAGTCTAGGATTTTATTTTGGTCAGTATGTAAGTAACCTTAAAAATGTATGATGATTAGTATTGAATTTATTGTTGAGCTTACTATGGAACGATTCATAGCCATTTGGGTCAAAAAAGGGGAACACTCAGTCCACATTTGAGGAGGGAAACGACTATCTAATATCTAAACCTATATAATGCACTATTGTAAATTTTGCTGATTAGCCATCAACACTTGTTTAGCCCACCAAAGAACCGATCGATTTTAAATTTAGGCATTTTGTTGTTTATTAACGGTACCGTGTGGAAACCAAAAAAATCTATGGAAGCTATTTGGGTTGCATAGAAGTTAACACTTGAAAATTGTATTCGATTTTTAGAAAATGTAGGTATTTTTAGAAATGATAATCGACTTTTTAAACGTCGTACTATTGTACTAAGTTAGGTGTTCAAAACGGCCACAGCGATCTGCATTAGACATTATCACTATATTAATACCAATAGTCTATATTACAATTGAAAAAATTATAATTATTAGGACTCAATTGTTTTATAGACAATTATAATATCATATAGAGCACTATTAGTATACTGCAGTATAGTCAGTGCATTGCGTTTGGAATACGACTTTTATTTTCTCCCTCACATAGATAAGATAATATTATGTCGATATTTAAATATATATATAGGTAATAGGTACCTACTAAAACGTTTGCTCAAAATGCGTTTTGTGTCCGCAGATGACGACGAATGTGCACTGAAGACAGACACCTGTGGCGTCTTGGGTCCGGATTGGATCTGTAGAAATACACTTGGTTCCTTTCGGTGCGATAAGAAACGTTGCACGGGGCCGAATTGCCGAGTTCTTCAAGGAGGCTTTAACAACATGAATCAGAGCAATCGAAGCAGCGTGAAATGTCTTCGTGGTTACGAAACGGACCAAAACAATAAGTGCACAGGTATAGCTATTGTGATTATTATTACATAATATTAATTATTTATTTATTAGATGGATGGGATTTATGGATTTAACAAATATAGATTTTTTTTAAATAATAAACCGTCAGAAGTCGTTCTGCAATATAACAGGGGTAGTACAGGGGCGTAATTAAAGGGGTAATGAGGGGATAAATCACCCCTCGGAGACTTAAAATATATATATACAAGAAAGTTAGTTTTTTACACTAATTACACAAAAAAAACTATGGTACCTAATTACGTTATGTAATATTACAAACAAAATACATTTAATATTTGGAACAAATTCACCCGGGCTTTTTTTTTTTAAAACATACTTATTTCAACGAGTTAAGAATGATGTTGAAATCAAAATTTGCACAATCAGCAAGTCATAGTTTTTCAACCCATTAAATTAGAATTAAAAACAATAATACCCAGATTTCTGACTTATTCAAAATATTATATATTTTCATATTGTAATCAGTACTCTTTTTGATCAGTATCTTTTTGAACTTACCTATGTAGAAAAAAATTGTTTTTCTGTGGATGGTACTACCATTGAACAATTTTCAAAATACAAATGAAGGTTTGGAATTGATCGAACAGAATGGGGGAATGGCTGCGTGAATTTTCCACCCCTCATACAACTATAATTTAAAAATATAATGATATAATAATACTTATTATACTTAGTAATTATGTTATTTTCCACACTAAATAAACAACAGTATTAATAAATCAATTGTTAGTAAATTATAATACATAAATGTATTATTTTTCAAAATTGATGTTCTTAGTTTGTGTTGAATGATTGGATTGTGAACAATTCGAACATAATTCTATTTTAAACCTGAGTGCGATTCGATCATTATTCATTACCTTTGATTACCTTCATTACCTCTGATGAACCAAAATTACGTCGAGTGCAATTCAAACATTTTGGTTTTGGTTGTTCGAAAAACCCCTTTTATTTAGTTCAAACGTATTAACTCTTTGGTGGGCAATATATTTAATTAATTCATCTATACCCGCTTTTAACATTACGGCGGGCTGACTTGTGATAATTCCTATTTTTTTTTTTTTTTTTTTTTATTTGAATAATATTGTGTTAATGTATTTTGTTGTACCGCAGACATAAACGAATGCAGATTGGCCAATCGGTGCTTGAAAAACGAAATGTGTATCAACACAAATGGAAGTTACTACTGTTTGCCCAGATCAAAAAATTCTCTGCGGTGAATGTAAAAATATAATATGTTATAATATATTAATGTATAACTACGAGTGTTATTTATATTAAAAGTAAAAGTATTTGTATGTTTAATTTTTCTAATTATGGTCTATAATTAACAATCCTAAACATAAAAATCAAAACCAAAATCGGCCAGATTATTGATTTTAATTTTAATAATCAATTTGATTATATAATTAAGAGGACGTTACACAGATATAATTTGTTGTCTTTGTCTTACAAGTGGGTAACATACCAAATTTTACACTCAGCAGATAACGTTTAGCTCCGTTAGATTAAAAATTAGAGTGAATTTACTTCTTATAACATTTGATAAAAGACTATTATCTAGGGCATTTCATAAGCTTATTGTTATATTTTAATTTTAAAGCAAGTTATGATTATTTTAAAATTGTTAATTGTTTGTACATCTTAAAATACTCATAACTCACTTTAAAATTAAAATATAATAAAAAACCTATGAGATGCTCTAGATAATAATCTTACTTTTAAATTTTATAAGAGGTCAATTCTCTCTATTTTTTTAACTATTGGAGCTAAATGTGCTATGTTATACGCACTTGTAAGACGGAGAGCAAAAATGTCTGTGTAGCGTCCTCTTAAATATTTTATATTTACCTACAATTAATGATTATTTACCACAATACAACTGTAAAACGATGTTTGTAGCCTATATATTATAATTTATAACATTTTTTTAAAATGTAAATAGCAATTCTCAAGATTGGTTGTTGCACAGATAAATTTATTATAGTTGAGGATAATTGTTTTTAGTATGATAAAATATGTTACACCAATAAAAACGGTTGTTTTTAATTTAGGGTCCACATCATTATTATTTTTTTATATTTAGCAAAGCAAAGTTTTATTTTTCGACATGTTGCAAAATTATATGTATATTAACACCCTCATGATCCCGGCATATAACCTATATATTTGTATAATATAATCGATATAAATCTCTTGAATAAGAAGACCAATAACGATTTTATTTTATTGCAAAATGCCAACCATTGGCCGTGTAATCAGATTACGCTTTTAACAATCCGGCAAGAAACGATTTTTTTTTTGTACAGTAGTTTTTTCGCATATTATTATTGTACCACGGTCTACGATATTATTTTATTAAAAGCCCTTGTGTGTTCCAAACATTTTTTAACTATGAAAATGTTTGGTTAATTTTTCTACTAATAATAGCTACCAGACATGCCATCACTAATTTGGGCATGCCTTTGTAAATATTCTTACATTACTTTAGCTTTATCCTATTTCCTTTTTACCAAAATTTAAATATAACTTGTTAGATATATTTATGTGCAAAATTAATAATTTAAATCCATATTTGGAGTGGTTAAAAAATAGATTAAGCCAACATTTATTGAAAGCCATGATAATAATAGCTTTGATACTGTTTTGAATATTTATAGGTTAGTACTATAAATGTACGTTATTTACATACTTTAAAAATTCGTTAGTTATTTGATAATTTATATAGGTATATAGTATATACCCACATTACTATATAATTATTCATACCTGTATTTATGGTGTTTTAATTTTAAAATAGTTGTACACAACTGGCTTATTAGAACAGGTGTATAAAAGAGTCTAAAGAAGCTGAGTCTAAAGACAGACAAAATTGTGTAGGTAGGTACTTTATTTGATGTTAAAATATTTATGCAAGGACTAAAATGTTTTGATGTATTTAATATTTATGCACATATACAAATTAGTTATGGAATAAATCTTTTATATTTAATTCAAATGTATCATAATTTATTCTTTACTGGTTATTTTTTGTTGTTTTATAATATTTTCTTATTTTCATTATTCACAAAGAAATTATAAGCAATATTGTTTAAAAAAAAAAAAAAAAACAATATTTTATAAGAAAAAATTGTAACAGACTTAACAAACTAATACTCCTTTTGTAACATTCAGTTTAAACATACAAACATAAATTCTTTACATTTTCCCGATTAAATATTATTACATAAATAATTCAGACGACTTTTAGAGATCTCGGCTCTACTGCTCAATCGTGTTAATCCATCTTAATGTATCAATATATTTTTATAATTTATACCTGTTTTACGTTCTTACTATTGAAATTCTATAAAATACTTTACCATTGTTGAAATAAAGTAGGTATCATCGAAAAATTATAATATTAAAAGTTTTCTCTCATTGACATAAATTAAAATAGCTGAGCCCAATTAACTGAAACGTCATTGGGCGCTAAATGTTTCTTTTAGTATTTTGATTTGCGTCTGAATCGTTTGATCAGGTTTCAGGTTAATGGTGTTGGATGTTCAAACTACTAAATTTCACCATTGCCGAGACATGACAAAAATTAATGAAATCGGTAGTCGGAGTGTGAAATATTAATTTATTTGTTTGCATATTTCTTAAATAAACATTATCATATTCCATGTTATTATGCATGATAGACTGATAGTACGAGTATTATACAAAATTTAATAAACTGTGCAAATTTTATTGATTTTCACTAGGCAAAATGCTCAGAACTTTGAATACATATACATAAGTTACATACGTATATACATACATACATACATTATACATATACATACAAACATACAAATATACCGAGATGGAAGTGTCCTTGGTCCCGGCTTTAAATGTTCAATATTATATGTATATGGAAAATAATAAATATTTACTTTTGTAGCTTGCATGCTTTTGTTTTAAGTGTGATAACAAAAAAATAAGTGAAGAGAGGGATGTAGTGACGCTTGTATAAATTACAAATATTTAATTCACAACTATTTATCACGTCATATTTGTATGATTTTTCCGAAATTTTCACTTATTTCTCCACCAGCAAAAACCATTTTTTTTTACTTCGCTTTTATCCTCTGTCCCCAAAAATATTGTAATATAAGTAGGTATATATAACATAATGTAATATGAAGTTTCATGTGCGACAAATCCATAACTAGCTTTGAAATTACCGACCAATGAAATGTATTAAAATTATTAAATTTATCAGTCAATTATAGAAATGTACTCCAATTACCCACAATGACTGGCGTCCAACATAATTACGGACATCGCCTAGTCATTAGTGACATGGTCAGAATTTCTTACATTGACAGTAATATAATATATTTTATTTTAAATTACCAAAATAACTATAATTACGTAATTTACAGCTCGACTTTCGTTAAAAATAAAACTTAAAAAAATCAAAAATTTCTCTTAGTGATAAATAGCTCAAAGAGTCAAAATAACATCCATAAAAAGTCAAATCTAAAAAGGTGGGTTAGTGGATGTCGCTCTGCTGTACAGTAGGTTACAAGTGGGTCTTAGTATAATGGATGGTATTAAATTTGAATTCAATGATATAATATCATTGTATAAGAAAAACGATTCTGAGTGGAGACGGTATGTCAATCTAGGTATAAGACATATATACTTATCGATGGTATTGAAAAAAAAATTGACCTATAATAGATACCTATGATAAATTCCAAATTAATCATATCACAATATCCATTAGGTATCATATATCCCCGAATACTATTTTTAAATACAACGAAAAACCAAGATCGTTAATATTGATTTTAATATGTAATTTCGTCCAAATTTGGATTTAAAATGTCTGTAAAAAATAACTGTGTTCATATATTTTTTAGATTTTTTGGTTACAGTATGAACTATTTACGAGAACCTTTTTGTTGAATTTGCAATCCTTAGCTATAAAAAATGAACATTTTATAATTTATTAATTACAATGATTGATAATTTTCGAGATTTTGATAAATTTTGTCAAAATTTGATTTTAAATGCTTATAAAAAAAAACTGTGCTTATGTATTTTTAATATTTTTTAACTGATATTGTAACAATATATCAGGAGCCTTGTATTAAATTTTTACACTTTTTGGCCCAACAGATAAAACTTTATTGATATTTATAGAAAAAAAAACTAAAAAAATTGAAAACTGAAAATGTCCGTAAACAGCTCAAAAAAAGTCAAAATATTTTCTAAATTGTATGGTGTATAAAAAATGCTAATTTAAACATTCAGTGAAATTTTCATGTATCTACAGTTATTCTTTTATGAATTACAACAAAATAAGGAAATCGCTACATGAGAAATCGAGTGAATATCAAATGTTGTAAAAATTTGAATTTCAAACGCTCATAAAAATTTAATTTGACTTTCTTATAGACATTTTTGTTTTGATAAAGGTAGATAATCTTATAAGGAATCTTGTATTACATTTTCAAATCTTAGATTTAAAAAGAAAAATTGTTACGAATTCTTAACTCAAAATAATTTGCTAATGTTCGTGATTTTTCCATATTTTTACAATTTTTGAACTTTAAATGCTTATAAAAAAAAATTGTGCAGAGATAGCTCTCTGGTTATGGGGTCCTAATAGTCATTTCAATTTTAATAAACTGACGTAAAGTCGATAAATGTCAACAAGTCAACGGTACTAATCTTAATTTATTCTATAGAAAGAGTCATTAGCTTAGAGCTTACGAGGGTAAGGCGTGAAGTAGGTTTTGCCGTGTGTCACTCTATACGGTGGTGATACCACAAAAATGTTGGATGAATAATGAACATTTACAAATCAAGAAACAATTAAATGTTTTCTCACTTCATCAATAAAATAAAAAACCGGCCAAGTACGAGTCCGACTCGTTCACGAAGAGTTACGTAGGTACCATCATGTCCATCATCAGCTATGTTGGCACCATTCCTTATATTATATATTTTAGGATTTTTAGTATTGAGGAGAAGTAATGCTAACACAGTTCCTCTTCCGTCATAAAAAAAATAATAAAAAAAAATTAATAAAAAATAAAAAAAAATATGGAATTTTAGTATTTGTTGTTATGGCATCCACGGAAATACATAATCTGTGAAAATTTCAATTTTCCAACTTTCCTGGTTCATGAGATACAGCCTGGTGACAGATGGACGGACAGCGGAGCCTTAGTAATAGGCTTCC